TCTAATCAAGAATTTCCAAAGGAAGTATCCTTGTTGATGCTTCCGTGCACAGTTAAAGGGCCTCGTTTTCTGTTTCGGCCTGCTTCGTCTGGGCTTGTAATTTTGTTGTACTTGTAGTTTGGCCTTGATGAGCTTTTATATATGTAGGGCTTTTGCCCTGATTAATGAGATTTATTATGATGAAAAAAAAAATACCTGACATATATGAAATGTTTCTTGATTTCATAAATATAGTTATTCCATAATACAAATTATGTGATAGGAAAATGTTGAAAATTCCAAAAATAGGCTCTTATTTATTAAAATGGTGGATTGGATGATTTTGAGTTTGTCTTCTTTTTTTTTTTAATAAAAAATTAAAATTGAGTTCATATTATTTTGTAAATACTTAAAAGACAAAATATTGAAATATCGGAGAAAAATAACAGTTAACAATCTCTTAAAAACATTATGTTATGTTGATTTATTTTAATTTTAAATGATCATATAAAAATCTTTCTAATGATAGAGTAAAGAAAATGTTGATGTTTATTGTTTAAAGTGAAAGAAAGATGGAGGATTTCGACAACATTAGGAAAAGGCAATGGCAAAAAAGTCTTGTATTGAGGAATTAGCAATAGGCAGTTTGGCAATTGGAGAATGCAATGATTTGCTACTACTATAACAACTCTATTCTATTTTTTTAAAAAAAAAAACTGTTGAAATATATATTTTTATCTATAAATCAAACTAATTTTTTTACACAAAAGTGTTGTCAATATATTTTTTATATAAGAAAAAATTAATTTTTAATAAAAAAAATTGAAAATTATATGTGCTGATAAATATATAAAAAAAGTTGTCAACTTTGCACCGTTAGTAGGATTTCAAGTTAATTTTTAATATAGTAGAAGAATGTAATAATGTCATGGATGTGTTTTATGGCATTATGATTTTTTATTAATAAATATAAAAGTTTTTTTTTTATGTTTAATGAGAATTTTAAAAATATATAAACCGCTAAACTGAGAAAGAGTTGTGGATTCTAATTGAATATCATAGAAATATAAATTTATTAATTTATAATTAATTCCTAGAAAATGAGTTAGATTAGAGAAAAATATTATATAAAACAGTTAATACCACGCAGAGTACGTATCAAGAAAACTAAAATTTAAGAATTTATGAAACACTTTAGAAAATAATCATGCAGTTTGCAAATGTCGTATCAAACAACTTCTATACTTCAACTGGGAAAGTAAATCACTGTAGTCCAGATATTAAGTCGAAGAAGATAAATTAAACTCAATATATATATATATATATATATATATATAATTTTTAATTAGTACTTAAATATTTTTGTTGCACAAAATAATAACATTATCAAAATCCCTTGAATGCAGTAGAACATGCATCACATACCTCACCAACGTGGGTAGCACGAGTCAAGATGCAACGATAGAAAAAGAAAATAAAAATAAAAATCCTCCTCCATGTTCAGGTCATGTTAAATGCTGAACAATTAAAACAATTGAAAGGGAATAAACAGCCGTTTTAACTAGTAAAATATCATGTTTGAAATCTGCTAATTACATGACCCTCCAAGGCTACAGGAATACCATGCTTCGTTGAAGCAAAATTTTGATGGTAAAAAATAATTTAAATTACTGCTGTTTTAGAGAATCATGCCGGCGCAGATAAGGCAGGGCATGGCGAGCATGTTAAGGAGCTTTGAAAGTGGGAAGTTGATCGACTTTTTCTTAGTTAATCCGTGTGGTATTTAATTAATTACTAATTAATATACTAATGTTAATAATTTTATGTGCAATGTTATGCAAATGTAATTGACTATACGTACGTACTCGAAAGAAAAAGAAAAGGAAAAGGTGAGAACGGTTAGCTTGGAGTGCAAGGAAGCAAGAACTGCTATAAATGATTAGTTTGGTGGTTAACCAATTTAATCCTAACCTAAACCACTAAGTTTTATAAACAAGCATGATCATACTCCAAGCCCGGTGGATGGGAGAAACATATGATTTCTTTTCCTGCCTTAATAATATATAAATACCGAGTAAGACACTTGGAAAATACTGGATTATTTAACTTGAATAGATAGCATAATTATAAGATCATTTGGACATCTTAATCATCTGATTAAATGGGGTTTATTGTTAATTAAGGTCTTGAATAATAAATATAAATCGAGTCTATATATAAAAATTAAAAATAAGTTGATAAGTAGTGTCTCACGGGGATGAAACTGAGGATATTGCAATCTATTTTGAGTTGATTTGAGGCTTCTCCTGTGACCCCATTATGCTAACAACAACTGCAAAAAGCACCAAGCACAGCAGATCAAAGGGTTTTCTTTCTTTTCTTTTCTAGTTACTTCACGTTAGTCAGGCCACAAGAAGAACAAAAACCCTCGTATTAAGATATCCAAGAAAACAAAATGAAGAAAACAGCTGTTTTGAATTAATGATTATATATTTGTTTTCAAGTGTTAGAAGTAACAAGCTGTCAGTAAGAAAACCAGACACCTAGCCTAGAAAGAGGTATAAAAGAAATACAGAAGACGAGAAATCACAAGTACAAGAATGTTGCGCCGTAATGTGGACACATTCTGCTAGCTAGCTAGCTAGCTGGAATTCTAATGATTGCCCTCTTTATGCGACGCAAGTAAGGCACTCGATTCACGATGGTTAGGAGTTTTGCGTGAAGTTAACCTTCTTAAAAGAAATTGAAAATAAATAAATAAATAAATAATAATTAATTAGGGTATGAATTGGTATATGGATATTCTAGATCAGATCATCTAGTTGTTTGATGGGACCATTTCCATTTTTAATAGAGCTATAGTTTCTGTTTTATATAATCACAACTCGAATTTTCAATGCTTGTCTATATCCAAAGCCTCAATTCTCATGTGATCTTGTTCAGGCACAGGACAAGAGGCTAGCTAGGGATTCAAATTAACAATCATATTTATTATAACCTATTTTTTACCCTCATTTTATAACATATTTTTAAGAATACGTAAATGTAAAAAAAAAAAAAATTGTTTTTTTAATGCAAGTCAGTTAATTTACAGTATTTTTGGCATTTTTGCTTATTTTATTATTGCGTAACAATTAAGTTTTTTTATAAAATAAAATGAAAAAAATAAAGGGTGAAATGATGAGTCATAAATATAATAGAGAATCAAAAAATATAATAAAATATTAAATAAATAAGGAAAACTCAAAGATTTAAAATTCTCTCAAATATCTTCCAATTAATTGTTAGATTTTAATTTTAAGGGTTTTTAAAACTATAAATAGAGGCGTATAGTATACTTGGAGAGACACCTTGATAGGGGGGAGGGGGGGGTGTTGGGGCTAGCAAAAAATAGAAAAGCACAGCAGCCCCCGATTAAAATGCCTGTCTTTTATCGAAGTGATGAATTTAAATAAAAACATTAGGTTATATGTTTGACGAGCATGAGATTCTTCGCAGGTCATTTTCACTAATTTTACTGTGTAAAACCGATTCATAACTGAGTCCACAACACGTTCTACTCATATTCAGAAATTTAACTATGATTTCCTTGCTCGTTAGGACTATTCAAACACAGCATTGACATCAACTTTCCCTCTCAAGCTTAAATTCCAACCCGACTTTGGTGCCATGAGAAACAAGATATAAAACCAGTGGGGACGTAAATGTCACGATATTCCTTTTCTTGCCAACCTCATCCACCAAAAGAGAGAAAGCAACCGTAGTTAGATGCTATTACAAGTCAGACAAATTTATTTATTTTTCAATTCTCAATTATCCCTAATAATTACTCAAGTCCCACCTTTGATATGCAATCACTTGTCGAATCCAATTATCTGTTGGAACATCTCTATCATGATTTTGATGTTAAGACAAAATCATGGGTTTAATACAATAATTATTAAAAAAAACTAATAAATTAGGAGTTATAATGATGTCTAATTACTGCTCAACCACAAAAATCTATATAACTTGGACATCCATACTGAAGCAAGGACTGTGCGAGAGTCATGGGAAAGAACCTGGCTTCTGAGAATACCATAACTATGGAGGAATTTTCCTGGTCGCATGCAGTAATAGAAAGACAGGAATCCTTTTCCTTAGATGGGGAAGATGTTTGTGGCATGGATGGTATGGATAATGTGCTGGAGGTTGATGTGAGGGAGGAAGTAGCACGCGAAAGAGATGGTTCTTATGAGGATACACCGGTGGGTTCTGTACCAGATGTTTCTTACTCGAAACCCTGAATCCTCCAAAGCCACAGTAAGAGAGCAGAGTCCTAGAGAGGCAAGGTTGCTATGGAGGATGAGGCGATTTCCATGGTGGAAAAAACACAGTTAATTTAATGATCCAGGAGGTCAGGAAGCTTCTCACATTGATGCGGTTATGGCTTGTCTTAACGATTCCGATGCCTCTATTGATCAGATTTGAGCTATACAAGGTTGTTTGGGTATCTTTGTGATGCTTCCGGCCGGTGATCAGGATGTGAGTGGTCCTACGACCAAAATCTTTTTCTCCCCTAATGAATCTCAGCATGTTTGCCAGCCACTTCTGTTGTTAAAGAGAGTGGCTTTACTAGCTAGGACCACTGATTTTGGGAGATATCTTGTGGTGCCCTTGCTTCACCAGCGAGCAACCAAGTACACGTTCTGTCACATTTTTGATTAAGACAAGTGAAGATTAGCCAGTTGGAAAGCGGACGGATTTTCGTTGACAGGGAGGATAACTCTTTCCTAGCCAGTTCTGCAAGCCATGCTGATCATGTAAACAGTGCAAGAGTTTTATATGGGGATGAGGAAAATCTAATTCATATTTCGCAAACCAAATAAAATAAAAAAACTTAATAGGTCTTAATTCTATAAAAAAAAAATAAGATTTTAATGTAATTATTAGGTAATAAATACTAATATTCCTAAATAATACCAAAACACTAAATAATCATACAATATTAAATTTCCCAAGTGGACAAATAATATGTATATCATTGTTTGAAAAGCTAGGGAGATGCATAAAGACACCCTCTTACATAGTAGTAAACTTGGAAAGAAATAAAAAATTGCAGTAAAATCGTTTGACACGCGCTATACAAGGGGAAGGCAGGAGGTGTCTTATAAAACACGGCTAGCACACAACAGCCAAAGTAAACAACACAAGAATGGCAGAATTAGCAGAGACTGCAGTGATGCCTAAGGTCATACCTTTCCTCTCTTCTCTTCTTCAAAGAGTAGCAGAATCTAATGATATTAGCCATCAGTTATACCCCCAGAAAGTCTCAATCTTTCATGGCCTTTCTAGACCTGCTATATCCATTCAAAACTATCTTGAAAGAATCTTCAAGTATGCAAATTGTAGCCCCTCTTGTTTTGTTGTTGCTTATGTGTATCTTGATCGGTTTTCTCAGAGACAATCCTGTTTTCCTCTCAATTCTTTCAATGTGCATAGATTGCTCATCACAAGTGTCTTGGTCTCTGTCAAGTTCATGGATGATATGTAAGTAATCTTCAGAATCCAGTTCTTGAGCTAAGTTCCTTTTGATCTTTAATTTAGTTTTTATTTTATTTTCATAGTTCTTCTTCTTGATCTGGGATCAACTTTGATAAGTGGATTCAAGTTTGATGATCCAACTAATGAGTTTATATTTTTCTCTTCATCAAAGATAATGGATGGTAGTCCTGGACAAGGATTCTTGATTGGAATCTTTCCTTTTCTTTATTTTACCTTGATGACATTCAACTCTGAAATGTTAAAACACATTAAAGGATAGGTTAGGCCTCAAAGTTCAAGTCATGCCCAAGTTCGAATTGAAAAAAGAATTATTGATTTTCTTTGTATTAAATGAAATTCCATGTGATGAAAATCTTGCACCTTGCATCTCAGTTAAGATCCGAAGCTTAAACTTGTGTATACATAGGCATGAAAACTCTCAAGCGACAAGATATTTTCTTTGCTTGAAAGTAGCCATGCCGAATCACGTCAGCATTTTGATTCAAGAAGTCAGACTTGATATTCTAAAAACATAGAATGATGGCCAGTGATCCGATGAGATCCCCTTAATTAACGAAAACGCAGTACACAAAACTGGGTGCATATGGGATCGGAAAAAATCCCATCTGAATGGGCCACAGCCAAGAAAAAGAAGACACCCATGTGTAAAACTTCAGCTTTGATTTGACTATACCACCTAAGTTTGTGGTGTTATTGCCTCTGTCTGTTTAAGCATGCCTGTAAATTCGATCAAATTGTAAGCATGTTTCACTTTCATCCTAGAGAGGGGTCAGGTCAGTGACAGCTCAATCAAATCTCTATATTTTGTTTAAAGCCACAGCATCTAGAAGCATTTCTTTCCTTTCCTTTCATTTTTCCTTTTTTGGGCCATTTAAAATACTCAGCCCTCTCGGGCCTCGGCTGTTTTTGTTGACTGCCAATACCCACTGTGCTTTACTGCCAAAATCATGGTGGCAGGCTAGTGGTTCGATTGTTTGTCTGTTATTCATTCCAACTGGAAACCATAAATAAGATTACTAATGTAGAAAGTTTATTTATCTTAGCGTTGATATGTCTTTGTTTCGTGTTCTTGCCTGGTCAGATATTACAACAACGCTTTCTATGCTAAAGTTGGAGGAATCAGCACAAGAGAGATGAATCTTCTTGAAGTGGATTTTTTATTTGGTCTGGGCTTCCAGTTGAATGTGACACCAGCCACATTCCACTTCTATTGCTCTTACCTTCAGAGAGAAATGTCGATTCAGTCTCCTCTAAATATCGCAAGACCACTGAAAATCCATTGCTGTTTCAATGAAGATGAATCCACTCATCAAAAACGGCTTGCTGTTTAGATAATATTTAGGATGGTTAGGAAAGTTGGACCTTAAAAAAAGGAACTAGCAGACTTTTAGTAGTGCTAGTCATGGAGGGTCATGCACATGTGAGAGCTTGGATGTTTTCCATAAGCATTCTGGTTTGAAATGATGGACTCGAAACTCTCATCTGGCATCCTATGATTTGAGGCACTGCACACATTTTCAAGCTCAGTTTTTTATGCTACTCGTCGTATTTCTCCTTTTCTTTTTGGTTGGAAATTCGCAAATCAATGCTATGTACAGATGGGCTTTCTGTCCTTACAGTCTGGCTAACTTGATGTATATAGCTCATGATCAATCTTCCCTGTAAAACATGACCAGAACTTAACTTTGCAATGCCCTGTCGCCCAAGTTCCTCAATGGGACAAGTAATCCAGGCTTCTAGAGACTGTGAATGAATACTGACAGAAGCAATATCAGTAGAAAACAGAATCTTGCTTAGCCTTCCAAATGCATGGATAGAAGAAAAATTGCAATAGAAGCATTGCGCAATCTCTCTATGCATATGTAGGAGACTAACCAAATTGAGCTGTGTTGTGATTTCACTTGTTAACAATGGTTAATGACTGTAAGGAAATTAGCTGGTGTTTAGAGATTAAAGAGATAGGTTCATTTTTTAATTTCTTGAATTTTAATTTTGAGATTTACATTCAAAATAATTTTATTCCTTGTAATGTGCTAATCTAATGTACTAATATAGAGAATGTCTTTTTAATTTTTTTAAAAAATAAAACTAGGATTGTATTTGATAAATATTTTAGATTATAAATGACACAAGAAACAAAAAGGTATTTTATTGGAAAGATAAAAACAAAAATATAAAATGACTAATATAATCTCAAAATGAAATTTTATACTTTTAAAATAATATATATATAATAAAAAAATTAATTTTCTAATAATAAATTATTATTATTATCATTATTATTGCTTACCTAAAAAAAATTATCCATTTGTTACTATTATTAACTCAAACAGCTATAAAAAGACTTGACTCGCGGATCATTAAAAAGTTTAAAAAGAAATATTATTAGTCCAGCACAGTTAATTTCAAGGATAGATAAATAATTTAATTAATTAGTTAGATTATAAATTTATTTTTAAAAAATTATTATTTTAAATTTTATAAATCTAAAAATTATTAAAAATTTATATAATTTTTAATTTTAAAATATATAAAATTAGTGAAGGTATCCCTATTAAAAAAAATATTGAGGTGGAACTGTTATCTTTGATACTGCGGCCCATTGATACTGCGGCCCATTTCTATTAGAAAAGAGGACCCTATCGTGTAGCCAACCGTACGCCCACCCCACCAGATATATAACATGCAGATCTTCTCATTTAAATTCCCAACCTAATTTTTATTTATTTATTTATTTATTTTCAAGAAAACGGGACCCTAGCTACATAATAAAGGTGTTAATTCCTGATTCAGGAAATAATTGAGGCTGCTTCGCTTCTGTTTTATAAACACTTTCCAATTAAAAATAGATATTGAATAGGAAGTAAAAAGTTAAGAAGGAAAACAACTTCGATAAAATCCGGGAACCTCTAGGGAAGAGAATTCTCTCAGGGAAAGGAAACAGCCTCTGCCTTGGCTGTCACCGCCGCAGTGCTAGTATACAAGTAGGGCTTGCGTTAAGGATATAGCGACTCCATTGTAGCAGCCAAGGATTTCTGAAGGTTTGGAGGGAAGCATAAGGGTTACTATAGCCTTCGATAGACAAGGTTTTCTCTTTTTCTTTTTACTCTATACGTATTTTATTCAAGTTTTATTGATGCTTTCTTTAGGTTTTCTATGTTTCTTTTTTTTCCGCTGGCCCACGTACCTTACCTGTTCATCAAGTCGCCTAATCGAATGATCTTGAAGCTATCATCATATCCGACGAGAGCATTCAAGTTTTCTTAAATATGGGCTGAAGTTTCGGATTGAAATTTTTTTTTAGCATTTATGCCCATGACTAAGATTTTGATAAAGGTGCATTTGTTATATATATATATATCTTATAGTGTATGAAATATATAAGAATGTGAAGTTTAAGGAATTATCGGAACGTGGTTTAATCCGCCTTTCTAAGATTTTTAATTTTTTTATTTAAATTTAATATTTTTTTAGTATTTCTAAATTATTTTAATGTGTTGATATTATAAATAATTTTTTTAAAAAAATATTATTTAGATACATTTCAAAGTAAAAAATACTTTAAAAAACAACCACAAAAACATTACTAAACACTTTCGAGAAGAAAATAAGAGAGAGAAAGGAACATATATATTGTTTTACATCCCAAATTCATTGTAATAAATGGAATTCAATCACCAAAAAGTTAGCAGAATAAGATATTTATGGTTTTCATGGTGGTATTCGATGCACTTTACCACCCTGTCATGGTGGTGATGTACGTGTTCTTTAATGGCATGTGAAGAAGCTTCGGTGGTGAGTTTTTTCTCTTCCCTCTTCTTTTCCTTCTCTCTTCCTAGAAAACAATGTTGGTCATTGCAAAAAAAATATCTAATTATTTGTTTTTTAAGTTAAATTAGTTTTTTATTCTTTTGATTGCAATGTATTTAGTCTTTAATTATTTATTCAGTTAATTTTTTTTTAATTTTATCCCTTTGTATTTTGTTTTTATATTAGATTTTATTTTTATTTTTTTAATTATGATGTTTTTGGTCTTGAATCCTTTATTGAATTAATTTGTCTTTGGATTTCATCCATTAACATTTTATTTTTATATCAAATATTTACTCCATTCTTTTAATTGTTATTTTTAGTTGTTCTTATCATTTTCTTAATTGAAATTACTTTTCAATTCCATTCCTAATGATTTGGTTTTATTTTTGTGTCAAATTTGGTTCTTTTTAAATCTACATGTTTTAAATTACTTTTTTCAAGTTTATCCCTAATTATTTTAATTCGTTTAGAATTTTACATTATTTTTTTTGGGTTTGTCTTTTATGATATGATTCGATCCCATGACTTGCATCACAAATTCTAAAAGTTGGATCAGGTTTTGGCTTCAGTTATTTTTAATTATTTTTTAAAATTTCATTCATTATCATTAAGTTCGTTGGAAATTGATTTTATTTGTTTTTTTTCTTTTGAATTCTTTTATGAATTTGATTTTTCTTTTTTATTTTTCTCTTTAGTTCAATATTTTTTTTATATTTAAGGTTTAACCTTCAATGTTTTAATTTTTAATTTTGATTTTTAGCTTTTTCTATTAAATTTTAATTTATTTTCATTTTCATCCTTAGATCCATAATCTTGACTTTTTATTTTTTTAAATCCTTATTTTCTTGATTCTTTTATTTTTTATTCATTTGTTAATTGGAATTTTTTTCATACATTAACCTCATCTTCATCCTCTTATATTTTACTATTCACATCATTGTTTATAGTTACTTTTTCCTTCCTAGATCCTTGATTTTTTTTTTTAACTTAGTCATTTAAGTTTGTTTCTTTTCAATTTCTTCATTCCAAATTATGTCTATATTTTACTATTCACATCATTGTTTATAGTTACTTTTTCCTTCCTAGGTCCTTGATTTTTTTTTTTTACTTAGTCATTTAACTTTGTTTCTTTTCAATTTCTTCATCCCAAATTATGTTGATGTAGTTTTATATGTTGAGATTTGTTTATATTTACATGTTATGGCATATTCAATTTTCATAAAATATTCTAGTATTAAATTGAAGCTTGATTTTGTGAAATTGAATATAAGGTTATTAACAAATAACAATTACAAAAACAAGGATAAAAAAAATATAGATGTTTTCATCCTTCTAGGTCCATGAATTTTTTCACTTTAGTCATTAAACCTTGTTTCTTTTCAATGTTGTCTTTCCAAGTTATGTTGACATGGTTTTATGTGTTCAGTTTACATGGTCTAACATATTGACGTGTTATAAAATATGATGATATTAAATTGAAACATGATTTGATGAAATTGAATTTTATGTTATTGTTAAATGATTTAAAAAAAAAACAAGGATTAAAATTAACCAAAATAGCTATTTTTTTAAAAACAAAAAGCATGAAAAAAAATTAATTTGATCTCTTAAATTATATATATTTGATCCTTGTCGTTTAAGGTTTTAACATTTTAATCTAAAACTTTATTTTTTTTTTTTTGTGTTTTTGTTTCTCATTGTTAAGAGGGGAAAAAGAGTGAAGGAAAAGGGTGAGGAGAGTAAAGAGTTTGGTAAGCTATATTTAGGTTATAAACAAAAAATTGGACTTGGTGTAAATAGGTTCATCTTAAAGGGAATTTGATAAGGATAGTTTTGTTCTTTAAATATGTAGGAAAAAGTAGATTGAAAACTATAAATTTTACTTTGATTTGATTTGATTTTAAATTTTTAAAATTATTATATAATGTTTTACAATTAAAAATAATTTTACTAAGGTTTTTAGCATGCTTTTTTCAACTTTTTTTTAGATTAAAAAACAAGTTGAAAACAATTTTTTTTTATCCAAGTACTCGAACCATGATCTTTGATGACCAAAAAATGCCTCCAATAATGACATCTTGTTTATCAAGTCTGAGATTTGTAGTCTATTAAAAAAATTAAACTAAATACATTTAAGTTTTTTTTTTTACTAAGTGCACGGGCTTGATTTGTCCAGCCTAGTAATGTTTGTCTTTTTCAATTACCATCCCTAAATCTTTGTTATTTGTTTTTTAAAGTATAAGTTTTAATTAATACCCTCTCTCTCATCTTTTAACTGTTTTTTAGTTTAACTTTCTTTTTAAGTTATAAGTAATATTTTAATTTATTTCTATATTTGCATGATGCATTTATAAAAAAATTATTTTTATGTAGAAATTTTAATGAACCATTTGGATAAATAAAAGAAAATGTATAAATTAAAAGGGACAATTGAAGTAAAATATTTGCATTTGCATCAATATTTTTTTTATAAGAAAGATCGCCTCCCACTTAGTCTTTAATTAATATTAACAATACTTTTTACTTATTTATTAGGTCTTATGCTTTTTAGTTCGTTTTATTAGGTGTAAACATTATCTTTTTATTGTTCAATTTTAAAAAATTATAATATGAAAAAACACATTCATAATGTCGGCACTTTCTTCTCTAGAGTTAGAAATTAATTTGAAATCTTATTCATAGCATAATGAGTGGACACGGTCTAGTGTTAAACTAAAAATTTGGGATATTTTAATTTATAGAAATGTTTTGAAAATTTAGATTATTTCAATTTTTATAAATGAGAAGAGTTATAGAAAACATTTTTACTAAAAAATATTTTTATATTATCAAGTTTCTATAAATTTTAGTTCTAACAGATTTCATTAATACATCATGACCCAACTATTATTCTTATTATTTTCGTTAATTCATAATCTAACTGATTGTACCAAATATAAATCATATGATAACTTCAAATAACTATAAAAACTATATTTATATATAGATAAACAATTATAAAATATAGTTAATATGAAGATATATAGAAACTACAAGTTTTCTTTCTTAATAACCTCACCTTTGATTTTCATAGTTGATGAAAATAATTAATCACTAATGCATTGTTACAAATAATTAACAAGAATAAAAAGTTTCCATATTA